TTCATTTCAAATCAATTTTATTGTATTCAAAAAGATACAATTGGATTAGGCACAGGCATTGCCTATAAAAGCCCTTTCCAGAGAAAATACACACATTTCATACATTCATATATACATATATATATAGAGAGAGAGTATTATAGAGAAGATGTAGTATATGTTCGAATTAATAGGAGAATACTAGAACCATTTAATACATGTTCACAAAAAATAATACATGTAACTAGAATATCATAGATTTTACCATTTCAATTAATATAGTCTATTTACTTCAATTATTAATAGCCTAGTGTTTGGTTGGAGGCACTTCAAAGAAATCGACAGTATACATGTCAAGGGCCCGACTGGTCAGTGGTCAATGAAGGTAATTGATAGGTCACGTGCGACCAAACAGCAGTCTGATTGACCGAAGGAATTTTGGATAGCGTCACTTCAGTCCAGCGACAGTAGCAAAATGACCAGTCGGAACTAATCTTTAGTTTCATTAACCTCCAACACCCCAACCACCTACCTGTAAATATAAACCAATACAGTGTTTATATTCATGGATTCAATTATTGCACAAAACATAGATTTAAGGGATGGACAATTTCTTTTGTTTTGTAAAAGATAAATAATCGGGCAAACTCAGTCAAATAGATTATAGTTTACTATTCGACACACTTATCAGGATTTTAATGATTTTTTACTTGATGTATTTCTGTATGCAATTATACTTGTGCATGATTATTGATGTTTTCTGATATGTATGTACGGTAAGATATTAATTAAATGTGTGTACAAATCTATCTTGCTGTTATTTGTTAATTTAAATGAGATTAACGCGTTTTTGTAAGAGATTTACTTTGAGATCAAACATTTTCAAGAAATGCCACATCATCAGTTGTTGTATTCCTAGTGTCTCTATACCAAAATCCCAGAAAATATCTGTTAGGAAAAATGGTCTATCATTGTGTACGTATTTGCTGACGTCTGACTTAAGAAGGATAAGATTATAAGACTGCATTGTAAAATGCTGGTTCTCCAACTATATCCAAAGTGTTTGCCAACTACGAAAAGAAATCGGAACTCTTCGTCCCCTCTTTTTTAGGCCAGGTCTCCGATAGGTCAATTTAAGTTTGCCATTTTGTATATTTAAGCATGTACCCAAATATCTAGGAATGCTCTTTAAAATTATCACATTATGAGTCCGTTCTCAACTAAACATTTGAGAAAGAAGACTTAAGAGACTTTAAAACTCGTCTTTTTTTTTGAGAATATGCTTAAAGCTTAAAGTTCAGAATAGAGAATGGATTAAGAATCTATAAAATGTACTCTTTTAAGAATATGCTTAAAGTTAAGCAATGAGAATGGGTGTAGGAAGTTTCGAGATCCCGGGACCATGTCGATCATAATGAACGTGACACGGCAGATTCTTTCTAAAATTAGCTTTTTACTTCGATCTTAAAAGCATGACGTACGTATACAGACAGGCTATATCGAATGCGCGTTGATTTTCCTTCCTTGCTCTTTCCTTCCCAACTCTCTCGAAGTATGGTATATTCTGTGCGATATATACGTCAGGCTCCCAGCAATCCACCAGCTTGTGGCGTCTCAAAAGAACGCGGTCTCCCGGTTCCAAAACGGCTTCTCTATTACGTAGTTATTTTTCGTTCTTTATGGTAACATCCTAGTTTAATTATCGCTCAGATATTTACTGTGGTTGAACGACGTGACGAAAACGTATTGACAACAAAACCATCGCGCTTTTAGCTAGATGACTAATTTGTTCAACGACAAAATAAGTGTTTATGTTTTTCAGAGATAGCACGTGTTTACAAGATAACTTTCGCGTTTTAACGAGATCGTTATGCAATTTACCCGTCACACATCAGATTACTGTACCTTCTGGTGAGAAAATCAATGTATTTTGGCAAAGCGATGTAATCTTATAAAGCTTAATAATGCGATACATTATAGTTTACTCGTTAAAACGAGAACATTTTGCTTGTGATTTTTCAAACTGATCTTAATTGGGCTTCCGTAATATATTTAACAAGAGGCCCATGGGCCTTAACAGTCACCTGATATATTTATACAGAGAGTTGATTTTGTTTTTAACACGAACAGAAATATTATTCAAAGTGACAAAAAAACAATAAAACCACCTTATTCAATATCTAGCATACAGATTTAAGACTAAAAAGTATTTGAAACTAGCACCTCTGATTCTAAACAAGGAAAATGAAGAAATCTTAGCACACTGACTCCTTTGGGCCCCACCCTACAGCCCTTGGGGGTAGGGCTAGCTCAAAAATTTTCAAAGTATCAAACTGTCAACTCAGGGTTATAATTTCAATCAAGTTATTAACATATAATATTCAAAGTATCATTTGCCATTATAAACCATAATAAGTTTTGCCCCCCTCTTCCTTCCCCAGGGGGTAAACGTGAGACCCTAGGGTCATAAACCTTAAGACCCTTCCAACTATGAAGAGTGTTTGATTCTACCATATCTGGATCTTTGAGAAGAATAGTTTTGAAATGTCAGTCAATTCGACCCTTTTTGGCCCCACCCATCAGGCCCGGGGGGTCAGTCAGGGTTGATAAGTGTATACCATCAAACTGCAATCCAATACTGATAATGCTAGCCCAAATTTAATTACTTTCAATGGAAATTAAACAAATGTTGGTCCAAAATGGGATTTCCCTATATAAACTATAGTAAAGTTGACCCCAGGGTCATGAAATTCACAATTTTGGTAAAGCACCTTAAGACCCTTCCATCTATGAAGAGTATTTGTTTCTACCATATCTGGGTCTTGAAAAGAAGATGTTTGATTTTTTTTGTCAATTTGACCCTTTTTGGCCCCGCCCCTCAGGCCCCTGGGCGCTGGGGACCAAACCGGCCATTATTTTTGTTGACCTTTGGCCATGGAAAGTTTCTGCAAAATTTCATTGAAATTGGTTCAGGGGTTTTGGAGAAGGAGTCGAAAATGTAAATTGTTTACGGATGCACGACGGACGATTGACGACGGACGAAGGACGACGCCGGACAAAAGGCGATCGCAATAGATCACTTGTGACTTTGTCTCAGGTGACCTAAAAACCTTCAACACATCTGGTGTCTGATTTGAGAAGTGTTTAATCTTTAACACAGACGTTGACCTAGTGGTATCGAAAGAGTTCAACGGATAATACCTGAGGTTCATAAAGGTGGTCGTCAGCAGTTCGTTCTGTATATACTATTAAACATAAACGTGCATAGTGTTGCTTAGTGCAGTGCGGCAGTTAACACTAGCTTGTTGAATAACGACTGTTCTATTATTCCACCCACTAAAATACACATTGAACAAGCAAATTCATTATTTAGTATGTATGAAACATAAACCTATATGCACATGTGTTTGATCATACCGATTTAAAATATCTCCTAAATTT